TGGGCACAAACTGAAGCAGAGGAAGCTCCAGCTGAACCCGAGGAAGAACTTCTTCCCTCTGAGGGTGACGGAGCCCTGGCCCAGGCTGCCCAGAGGGGCTGGGGAGTCTCCTTCTCTGGAGATATTCCAGCCCCACCTGGCCGCGGTGCTGTGCAGCCTGCTGTGGGTGACCCTGCTTGGGCAGGGGGTTGGGCTGGATGACCCACAGAGGGCCCTTCCAACCCCTGCCATGCTGGGATTCGGTGAGGTGCGAAGCCCACGAGGCCGTGCACCCGCTGATCAGACCCTGCACCCCAGGCTGCGCAGGCCGTCTGTGGCTCCAGCACTTTCGTGAGCGCTCTGTCCCCTTTTTACGCCACGGCTCACACAAGCCCATCGTGTCTGCACGTGTGATCCCACAACCCCAATGCCATAACCCAGACCCCTCCAAGTCCTGCTTGTTGCTACAGGCAAGGGCACCATCCCCAAAATGCCGATTCTTTAAGATATGTGAGAATAACTTTTCTCAATAGACTTGACCTAGACAGAATTTCTAGCTAGAAGACGTTAAACTACGGGCACAGCCACCTTGGAAGGGTCAAAGCACCGCACAGAGGAGGAGAAACCACTCAACACTTCACGAAGTTCGCGATCCCACCATCCCCCCCAGCAAACGACGCTGCGGGGAGCGGATATGCAAGGTACCTGCCGAGTTGAGTCCTCCAACGGCGTAAATCAACCCCGCGATCGACGTACAGCACCGAGGACGGGTCTTGAACGCCGGGAGGTGCGGCCGGCGCTCTGGCATGAGGTGATAATCTTTTGCCTCGTCAACTAGATCCCTGAAATCAAAGCCAAATAATGAAGGAGCTCGGTCGAGATGATGAAACCTGACTGTGGATTTAATCAACTGACTTCCCCCCCCAACCATGGCCAACCCTTCTAGAAGGCGACGTGGCCCTGCTGCCGGGTTACAACTGGGCAAGGTGCTTTGGTTTTGGCTGTGGGAGGTGCTCTGCCCGCAGAAAGCGAGAATTTCAGTCTCTACGGCTGCTAAACCACCTTCCTGCTGCCTCCACCCCACTGAGGGCCACCATCCCCACGGTGATTCTCCAACCCCACGCCCAGGTCCCACCTGCATTTGTGGCAGCAGCGGACCAGGTCATCTTGTTGCACGCGGTCAGTGAGAAACTGAGGCCGACAAAGAGGAAGGCGGATTTTGGACAGGAGCTCGGGTAGGAACGACTCTCTCTGGTCTCGGTCGTATCGTATCCAGGCTAACGCAGCTTCAAACACCTGCCAGGAAAGAAGCATGGGAAGTTGGAGTTTTGGGGTTGGTTTTTAGCAAGTTCCTACTGCTGCCAGTTGTCCGATGGATGAGAAACCACATATTGACAACGACGTTCCCCTGATCTCAGACAACATGGTTTCAGGAGGGGATGGTGATGCTCTACATACTGCATGCAGTGCTGGGTTCCTCAGTCCAAGCAGGACCTGGAGGGGCTGGAGCGTGTCCAGAGAAGGGCAGCGAGGCTGGGGAGGGGGCTGGAGAAGAAGTCTGCTGAGGAGCGGCTGGGGGAGCTGGGGCTGGTCAGTCTGGGGAGCGGGAGGCTGCAGGACCTTCTCGCTCTCTGCAGCTCCCTGCCAGGAGGGTGCAGTGAGGGGGGGTTGGTCTCGGCTCCCCAGGAACCAGCGACAGGACGAGAGGCGATGGCCTCAAGCTGCGTCAGGGGAGGTTCAGCTTAGAGATTGGGGAAAATGTCTGTGCTGAGAGAGTGGTCAGGCCTTGGACCAGGCTGCCCAGGGCAGTAGGGGAGTCCCCGTCCCTGGAGGGGTTCAAACACCGTCTGGATGTGGCCCTTGGGGACAGTGGTGCTCTATGAAAATCAGAAGACAGTTCTGATGGAAGGGATCCATCCATTAACTTTGGATAACTACACAGCAGACGTCTAGAGCTGAGCTGGTCCCTCCAGGCTCCCTAGGCAGACCTCTTCAGAGGACAGGTCACCTGTCCCGTTTTGGATGATCACAGAATCATAAAATGCTTTGGGTTGGAAGGGCCCTTTAGAGGCCACCCAGTCCAACCCCCTGCAGCGAGCAGGGACATCTTCAACTGGATCAGGCTGCTCCGAGCCCCATCCAGCCTGGCCTGGGATGTTTCCAGGGATGGGGGAGCTCCCACCTTGCTGGGCAACCTGGGCCAGGGCCTCACCACCCTCCCAGGGAAGAATTTCTTCCTTCTACCTCATCTAAATCAGCTTGAAGCCATCCCCCCTTGTCCCATCACCCCAGGCCCTTGTCACAGCCGGCCCCGCTCCCACAGCTCCAGCTCTGTCCTGTGCTGAGGGCTCCAGAGCTGGACGCAGGACTCCCGGGGGGGTCTCAGCAGAGCGGGGCAGAGGGGCAGAATCCCCTCCCTCGCCCTGTGCCCACGCTACTGGGGATGCAGCCCAGGGCACGGGTGGCCTGCTGGGCTGCCAGCGCACGTTGGTGGCTCATGTCCAGCTTCTCACCCCGCAGCACCCCCAAGTCCTTCTCCTCAGGGCTGCTCTCCATCCCTTCACCTCCAGCCTGTATTGATAGTGGGGGTTGTCCCCACCCATGTGCAGGACCTTGCACTTGGCCTGGTTGAACCTCATGAGGTTCCCACAGGCCCACCTCTCCAGCCTGTCCAGGTCCCTCGGGATGCCATCCTGTCCTTCTGGTGTTGTCAGCTGCCCCACTCAGCTCGGTGTCCTCTGCAGACTTGCTGAGGGTGCGCTCGATCTCGCTGCCTAGGTCACTGATGAAACTGTCAAACAGCCCCGGTCCCAGTACGGACCCCTGAGGGACACCACTCGTCACTGGTGCCCATCTGGACATGATTCCAGACTACAGCCAGGGCCTGGTGACTATTTCAATGGGACAGACGTACTCCTTGGTTCACAGGACGCTCACAGTTAAAGCCTGAGCTGGGCTGTCCTTCTACACTCCTGCACCTACAGCCAGATGACTACACCCAAGTCCCATCATTGTCACCCATGGCGGAGCTCCCACCGAGCACAGCAGCCACCCTGACCAGGGGTCACGCTCCAAGGCCAACACCGCACGCTGCAGCCTCATCTCCGCTCCCAGGTTCAGCTGAGGGAGATGACAAACGCGCAGCCGTCTCCCAGATGCTGCAGGAGAACTGGTCACTGTGGTCACGGCCACCACCTTGCAGGATAGCTGCTCTCTGAAGCAGATTACACACCGGTTTGGGTGGTCTTTTATAGCAACCTGTGGTGGGGGGGAAAACTCCAGCTGTACCACTGACCAGGACAAAATTATTAAGTCCTTCGGAGTCCAGAGTCTCACCCATCACCTCTCCTGAGGCTTTCAGTGCCAAAGCACTTCTGCAACAGGACCACGGTGAGCTTAAAGAACTTGCTTCCACTCTAGGAGGTGCTTTACGACCAGCAGACGGGCCGCACTGCGCTGAAATATTGTCCTTTCTGCAGAGGGGGCTGGCAGATGCCAGGGCAGCAGGAACGGTCACCGGGGACAGGCTCTCTGGACTCCAACCTGCCCCGCAAAGGATCCACTCGGAAAAAAAACCGGCAAGCGACAAATCTGCGGCACGATATGGCAACGTGGGTGGAAAGCGAAGCAGGTTCCGCTCCCTTCCCGTGCCAGGGGCATCTCGGGCCGCCTGACGAACGAAGCACTCTGTTACCCTACATGGAGATGGCTGTAGGTCTGCTTTTCGTTTGTCACCTCCTCAGAAAGAGCAGGGCAGATTTCCTGGCTCGAGGACAGGTTCTGCTTCTCCCGTGGGCTGTCAGCCCGGTCCTAAGGCTGCCCAGCCCTGCTTTCTGGTTTTTTTCCAGGACAAAGCCAGTCTAGAAGAGTCTCTTGATGGCAAATTCAGTGGAATGTAGATTATAAAATGCCACAACGCTCACAGCAACTTCTTTCCACCTCAGGAGCGCTCCTCTGGACTGGAACACGAGCTCCATGAGGAAGGGCTTCCTGCTGCTGCCTACACCCTCAGCCTCTCCTCCCCAGGACCAGCAGCTTGCTAAAGCAAGGGGCACAGCTGGAGGTCCTCAGGACCCACCAGGTTCCACCTGCACCACCGATGAATCAAAACACCTCAGAACAATGTTTTGCACGGTCTGAGGAACTCTACAAGGCGTTTCTCAGAGGAAGGTAACGTTGGTAGCACAGAGAAGCGGGGCTCAGGGAGTCATCATAGCTTTGTCCAGCAGCTCTCAGTGTCCCCACTGGGCCAGGACACCTCAGCTTCATTCAGACCAGGAACAGGGTCATATCCCACACCGCTCCCAAGCAACCAAAAACCCTCCAAAAGAAAAAACTACCTCTGCCAAGACCTACGCCAGGTACCCACCTGCTCTTCAGACTTCACGTTGAGCTCATCCCTAGAAACGAGCTCCAGGACGTCTTCGAACGGCAGCGCCAGGAACTCTTCGGACATGGACACCTCCACGAAGTGCTGATGAATGAAGCTGTTGGCCGCGTCGTAGAGCACCGCGCACATCATCGTCTCCGCAAACTGCCGCACCCCCAGGCAGTTTTTCGGGTGAAGCCTGGGAAAAGGAGAGCAGAAGTAACATCAGTTTAATGGAAGGGTAGAAGATGTTCAGCAATGCAACGCAAGCCTCAGAGGCCAGGTGACGCAGTGAAAGCCACAGCTGTGTCCTCTTCAGGGATGGCAGGTTCCAGCTTGCCGATCAACGTGCCCACACGGAGATCTGAAGGTGAATCCACAGCAGGGCTGGAGGATGGAAACCACAGCTTAAAACGCTCCCCTCGGAGCGGCTGAGGAGCCACCGGCCACACTCAGCTGGCTCTGTGCGAAGGCTGCGGGCCGGCAGGCGAGGGGAAGCGTGATGCTCTGCACCGTGATCCCCCCCCTCCCACACCTCGGGGTGCCTGGGTTAAGCATCTGGAACCTCCTTTTTATTTTTAACTCCAGAAATGGACAAAGCTGGATTCAAGCACACGGCAAATACCAACCGTCAGTCTCTCTTTTTGCCCTCACATCTTTTCTAAGTGCTACAGAACAGCACCCATTACAGACTCATAAAGCCATTTCCTGAGATTAAGGAGGCTTTACAGAACGTTGGGGTTTGGAAGGGACCTTTGTGGGTCACCCAGCCCAACCCCCTGCCCAAGCAGGGTCACCCACAGCAGGCTGCACAGCACCGCGGCCAGGCGGGGCTGGAATATCTCCAGAGAAGGAGACTCCCCAGCCCCTCTGGGCAGCCTGGGCCAGGGCTCTTTCACCCTCACAGGGAAGAAGTTCTTCCTCGGGTTCAGCTGGAGCTTCCTCTGCTTCAGTTTGTGCCCGTTGCCC